TAAATAAATAAATAAATAAATAAATAAATAAATAAATAAATAAATAAATAAACAGATAAGTAAATAAATAATTAAATAAAAAAATAAGTAAATAAAAAAATAAGATAATAAATGAATGAATAACTAACTAACTAACTAAATATATAAATAAATGAATAAATGAATAATTAAATAAATAAATAAATAAATAATCAGGACTATAGACTAAAGTATAAAAGTGTGAGAATAGCCAAAGTGGGGCTAGGCAGAGAAGTTGATGATCAGACGTGGCCTGCTAAATCGACAAATTAGGGGAAAGTATGGCCAAACAGTAAAGCAATGCATGTTTATGCAACTTTCATCTTGTCCGAGTCGTCTTTGACAACATCAGTTCCAACTAAGTCGCTTAGGCATCACTCGACTAATTAAACGAAATGCAAAACAACAAATTCAATTTAGTAAAATATTCTTCATTGGCCAACGATGCATCTGTACTCTTGGAACTGTCGTGGATCTACTGGTCATGCTCAGTCCATCTCGGACAGACCATTCAACGTGTCTCAGGCTCGTCGAGGTGCCGTCGACAACAAAAGAGATACGTCCAACCAGGGTCGAGGAGGGTTGGGAAAAGGAGGAGGAGAAGGTGGAAAGAAAGAAGGAGTGTGCCCACGAAAATGGCAGTAAAAACTGTATCTATCACGATTACAATACCAACAACAATAATAATAATAGTAATTAATTTTATTATATTACCATTGCTATGAATAATAACAATAGTTTTACTACTAAGTCTCATTCTGATCACTCTCCCGTTGATCCTTCCTTTACTCCTCCTCCTCCTCCTCTCCCTCATCGTGACCACGGTAACAATAATACTAATAATACTAATATTATGACTACTACGAAGTATTATTATAATAAGACTATTACTACTATTTAATTTATTATTTATCCTCTTCCTCCTCCACAATACTTTTCTTCCATTCCTCATAAACGTGATCAAGATACTACTTCTACTACTACTATTAACAATACTAATCACTATAATAATGACAATGCATATAATAACACTACTACGAACTGTTAGTAAGATACTATTACTGCTTATAATACTTATAATTATAATAATACTTTTATTACTGCTATTACGAATTTTTATTATTTGTATACTGTTATTACAACTATCACTGCCATTTCTCAATCCTATT